GTAGTAAAGAGAGATGTTTTTGATATTCATAAAACTGGTGAGATATATGTATGGTAGTACTGTGTGACGAATTTCTAAAATTTGATTATAAAATCCCAAGTTCAAAAGCCGAAATTTATGATTAACTACAAGCAGTATCCTCAAAATTATTCTCTTTCTAACGAACCTAACTTTATGAAAATCTCCTGAAAACTTCCATGAAATTATTGTAGTCGATGAAATTGTACCACGAAAGAAATGTTGGCTGAGGAATTAAATATGAATGAAAACACACTTTGGAGAATTATAACTGAAGATTTGTTCCAAATAAATCAAATGAAGACCAAAAAAGTGAACGTATTGACCTGATCTTTCACCATGTGACTACTTTTTATTTTCAAAACAGGAAAACCAACACGAAAGGAGCCTTTATAATGATATCCCTGCCATTCAAACAGCCCAAACCGAGGTGTTGAGGAACATTTCTATAAATGCGATAATGAACTCTACGCATGGTTGATCGTTCCAAATGTTGCATTGGGTCTAATTTAGATTTTCAGCAAACACGAAATAAAATATTTTCTATTTTTATATTTAATTAGTCATCAATATTTATTTTGTCGCATTCGAAGCAATTACTAACAGATTTAATACACTAATGCCAACGATTTCTACAGCGCGGGCAGTTTCGGCATTTTTTAATGTTTAACTGTCAAAAGGTAGAGATTGTTGCCTTAAAAAGATGAACCAGATGAAACCTCTTTATAGATTGATAGTCACAAGAAAAAGGTTATATGTTCTATTTAGTGAGATTTCAATGGGATCATTTATATTAAGCTTTTGCTCAATAACACTATTAATTTTGAAGTGCATTGTGATCAGCTGGACAAATTGAGTGATGGACTCAATCATAAGAGGCCTGAATAGATCAAAAGAAAAGGTGTAGTGTTCCAGCAGAATAATGCGAGATCTTTGATAAATACAAGTATGATGATTCGCCAAAAGCTTTTTTGTAGCTTGAATGCAATGTGCTAGCACACCCAGCATATTCTCCAGATTCGGCACCTTCGAACTGTTGCTTGTTCCGGTCTGCGCAAAAACTTTTTAAATGGGAGAACACTCACCTTTAATCAGAATGTAAAAACAACTTGAAGCAGTTTTTTGTCGACAAGGATCAAATATTTTAAGTGTGTGAAATCAATATCTTGTCTGAAATATGGCAAAAGCTATTGGGTCAAAAGCTGGAATATATAGTTTCATAGAATGTTTTACACAGCAGAAAAATAGTGTTTAAATTATATAGGAAAAAAAATTACTTTGTGAAGAATTTAATAATTTCCTTTGTAATGAAGATAAAGATAATTAATCGGGAATTTCGGCACATGAAATTTTATTTTTATTTTTATTAAATAAATGGCATGCATGCCAGCTGAATTGTATTTCGTATGATAATATGTTGAGGTTGCCATCTGCTAGGTCTGGGAACTTTACTAGAAATCGCAATTTCCTTATTTAAAAAGCACAAGCGATTTTTGGTAACTTTGAAAAGGTAGGTGGTGCCACATTATTACAAAAAATTGACTTATACTGTTTCAGGAATATAACCGTAGTTTCGACAAGAAAAAATGATTTGCACTGAAATGCTCAGAAGTTTGAACTTAATATGCAAATAATCAAGAAATAGATAAATTATGATTGAGCGTAATTGAGATGATATTTAATTTCAAAAAAATGAATCACGTGTTAAGATCTATAATTCTTATTATTTGAGACAAAAGTGAATAGTAACCATAATAAAGTCTAATGTTGGATCCATTACCATAAATCACCATAAATATTAATTAATTTCTTAATAGTGTTTTATTTTTCAGCAGAGTCCACTTCTATTTTAAGTATTGATTATTATTTTTAATCTCAACTAAATTTTATGGACTTTTAATGGAGTCATGGGTGCTTAAGTGGCAGAGTCAGAGTCAATCTGAGAGTCAGAGTAATCTATTTTCCTCCCTTATTAACCATAGCCTCGATGCTTTGATTATGTATATAATTTCTATTTTGTGAATACAAGCGCCCTTGCAGCTGGCATTTTCTCATTTGCGAAACCCGAATTAGTTTTCAGCGAAATGCATTTCTGTGTGTTAATAAGTTGTTGCATTCGCTCGCTTACAAATTCTTAATTTAAACTTCCGCTAAAAGCATAAACAAACGGTATACTTAAACGCTGCTAATCGTATATGTAATATAATATAAACTTGTACGTTTGAATACTTGTGACCCAGTTGCTTGTTTTGTTGAAGGTTTAACTAATTTTTGACAGCTCAATTCAAACAAACAATCAACCGTGATACTTTCAGTTATATTTTAGTTATATGTATATGTACATACAAATGCATGTATAATATATGTAAGTATTATTATACAAGTCACAATTACATTTTAAGTAGCTCCGCGAGTCGCGGTTCTGCCGATAATTACTTTGTTTTGAATTTGTTTAGGAATAATAATGAGCTTTTAATCGTGCACAATGCTGGCGCTTGTATTTGTGTATATGTATTGGTGTGTTGAAGCAAATATATTCATGTGCATAAAATGATTAGTTGATTTCTATAATTATAAAGACTTATGTCATTTGATTCTTGTAATTGGAAAACGGGTTTTCTAAGCGTCTTCTCATTTAAGAAGCTTAGAAAATTGTAAAGCTTTACTTAACCTATAATTAAACAAATTTGAGCAGAATATTTATAATTCTCTTTTTGAATTATAAAACACTTCACGATAACTAATTATTGCAACTTTTTCCTAAAAAAGTAGTTCTAACGTAATTTATAGTTGTTGTTGCTGGTAATTACGTAATACATTGCATTTCAATTTATTTGTAATTGCCTTTCAAACCCACCCGGATAATTGCTTTGTATTTCCCAATAAATCACTCAAAATATATTAAAAAAAAAATTGTTTATTCTATTATTTAATTACGTTTTTAATTGTGATTTGTTAGTGTAACGCGCAGAATAAATAGATTTTGTGTGAAATAAGATTTCTTCCTTTTTATTGACGTAGACACCGCTTACACAATTATAGATTAAGACTTCGCTCCTTTGAATTATCGCTTAAAATATTTCTGAACAAAATTTAGGATGACTATTCCATTTCGGTTAGTATAAATAAAAGAATAACTCTTTTATAATTTGTTTTTGTGCCCGGAACAGGTTAAGTTTGTCACGAAATTGTTACACATAGATCGAAACTTCTGTGAAACCACCCAAAACAATGTATAAACGATTAGCGTGATGACTGTCTGTCTCTTTGCCATTATCAGTGTCATTAGGGATTTTAAGATATGGCAATGAAATTTTGAACTTCTGTTCTCTCCAAGAAGCTATTAATTTGTAGGAATCGCCGATATCGAACCACTACAGCATATAGCACAAACTGTATTATCGGAATTAAAGCATTATAAAGATTTTTTTTTTTTATTTGATAAAATAACTTCTCGAATTTAGCGTAGGTAATAAAAGAAACCACCACTCCAATCTACACAGACATTGCTTAAATAGGACCAGCAGTGTAAGGGACGGTACTGTAGAGGTTTACAATTTTTGTATGATGTTTTCTAATGTATTTTTTATTAAAATATTTATTTCTGAAGAATAAAGAATTAAAAATGACTTTATCAAGCCTAACGGTTTTCCGGTTAGAAATAGGCCAACACTGAAGTCTTTACCGTGGTTGAAAACAAGAAAATTAAAAAAGAGATTTTTTTTTTAAGAAATCGTTGAAGTCATATACGAACTATAGTCTATACGAACTCTTCAACTGATGAATATATTTAAATAAATATATGGCTATAAGCGCATTCTTGCTCGACTTGACCCGATAAAGCTGAATTTTTTTCAAAAAGAGTTTCGTAAACAGGTCTCTTTGGATATGCTTTGAGGAGACATGAATTTATAAGTTCGAAATGGAATCAAGTCGACAGTCATCGGAATCGGAACTTGTTTTTAGTCGATTAAAGAGATAAAATAAGATTCGCTGAAGGATTCCAATCCATCCGTCCAATGCCATTACAAAAACTTCTTATGAAAAGTATTTTGAGGACTGGAAAAATTGTTGGCTTACGTGTATTACATCTGGTGGGACTATTTTGAAGGCGGGAAAATAAACATTGATGAATAATTGAATATTTTGCGTTTTATTTATAATTTCGGGGTACCTTTTGGTCATAATGTATCACATTAAGTATCGACATTTAAAATAATTAGCAACAGAACTTAATTTATGAACAGATACTTGACACAGGCGGCATGTCAGTAATTGATTGATTAATGTTAAAAGGTAAAAAAAAAAAAAAAATATCGAAGAAAGTGGATTAAAACTTAAAACATCAGCGAAAAAAATTTCAGAAATCTACTTTATTTTTATTAGTTTTACATGTTTTAAAGATTATGTTAAAAGTTCTTTGAGGTGCTCGAAGGAACGTGATGCTAAATTTCTGGAAAGAACACGCGTACTTGAGATTATACTTGCCAGCAGATTAAACTTAGAAACTAGAATATTCAAAAACTTAAGGTGTGTGGTATAAAGAAAAAACGGCCGTGAAAACTATAGTTTTGATAACAAACAAACAAACAAAAAGAAAAGAGAAAAGTGTATGCCTGCTTTAAGCAAGCTTAAGATCTATTTATAAGTGCTAGTAATATATTTCTCACCACTAATTAACGTCTAAATGCGAATATTGAATCATGCTCACAAAAATAAAATATTGAATAGAAAGTTATAAAAGTTGGGTCCGGTAGGCAATACATAGAATAGTTTTCGTTCTTTGCGATATTAGTTAAAGTTCCATTAGAATGTCTATGCCAAGTAGTCAATCTTTAGAATGACTGCGCTTGATGTGAATTCCAACAGCCTCTGTGGCCTCACTAATCATGCTCTTTGCAGTGTCTCATACCGTGCGGCGTCAATGATTAAATCATAGCCTTTTTTACGAAGTTATAAAATAAATAATAAAAAGTACTCACCCTTCAAGTGGGTAGCTATAGCTTTTAGCAGCAGATTTTACACAAATTGCGATTTCTGTTGTTAAGAAAATATTAAAAATTATTACGTTGTGACACTTAAATGCGATCATAATAATGAGCTCGAGTAATTAAAAATGCAAAACTCAATGTTATTGGCGGCGCTTCGCACTGAGTCACTGGTCAGCTGCTAAAAAATCAGCAAAATAAATAAATTTTGCATAAAAATTGTTATTAAACGATAGCAAATTTTTTTAGATTTTTTGGACTTAGTTGAAATAAATTATAGAATACACTTTTTGACAAAGATAAATTTTTATTAAAAAAAAATTTCAAAATTTACAAAAAGTATTTTTAGAAATAAAATTTCAAAACTGAAATTGTAAGCTTTTATTTACATTTCGAGATACCATATTTTTTATAATAACCGAATCTTTCAAATTTAAAATTTTCACTGCAACTAAATCCCGTAATTAGTGCTCTCACGTATAAACTCATGAATAATTGCATTTAAATATGTCTTCCGCGTAATGAACGCCACCCACTTAACGCCAATTGCAAACGATAGCAGCGCCGCGCTTCGTAATTGAAGCCAATAAAGGTGCAGGCAGTATAACGGGGCTTACGAGTCGCAATAACAGCAACTGCAGCAAAAGTGACGCAGCAATAACAATAACAGTTTGCACTTTTAAGTACACGAAACAATTACGCGCTGCTTATAAAGAACACAACACCAACAACAAGAACCAAAATGGAAACACAAGCGTAATGACTGTTTTCGAACTTTCTGTAAAGAAAAACGCGAAAAAGCTAATTCTCGATGCGGCTCAACGCCGCAAGCTCCTATAGCCGCAACAATTAGGCTTCTACGATCGCAGTTTCAAATGTTGATTTCACTGATCACACACACATACACAAAGAGGTATATGTAGTTTGAAAACGGCGATTTCTTACACAGCCGCTGAACACACGAGCGGTCACACATCTCCGCTTCTGATTACATTCGCACACTTAATTTATTGGTTTATTGTGTTTTCGCAGTCATTTTGGACGTTTTTATTGTTTCACTGCGTTGTCTCGTATACAATTTTCCATAATCCATAAACTTTTTTCTACACCGAAAATTATTTTAATTTTACACTCCTAAACGCACGCACACAACAGACTTTTGTATATGCTAATTTTGTGAACAAATAAATACGCTTACGTCTTTGTGATTGACGCTGATTTCACAAATTGGCTCAGCAAAGAGCCAAATACGAATGCACTGTTCGTTTTGGTTGTCCGCGCCACGTACGTTTCACGGCGACGAGCGCTCCAAAAATGCCACTTCACACAGCAAACAACTGCGAGCTGTCACAGGCACCAACTGACTCTGCTATTGGCAATGGCTTGTGGCGAGCGCGCGCTCACTTTGGCGTCGAATAGTTGGTGCTACTGGTACACCGTTTTCTCTGTTGCTCTGAGAGCTGCAGTGCTACCATATTTCGATTCATTCTATACACTGGTCACTTACTTGAGTACTGGCTGAGCTCAATAGACGTTTTCCACGCTTCAGTACTCTATTAACATTCTGTAGTACCAATAACAGTACTCTGTACGCTTAACAGTTTTCCCTTTATTTCCACGGCAGCGGTAACAGCGAATGTTAATGAAAGCATTAGCAGCAATTTGAAATCAGAGAATGTTAATGAGTATAAGAACATTCTGCAGCAAAACTTATAGAGAGCAAATGAGCGGCAAATAATCACATGCTTCGAGTATGACTGTTATTTGTGTTAGGCGCATGATTTTCAATGCCACTTGCACTTGCAAACACACAAGCATAGAGTTTAGCAGTTTGTGCTTAAACAAAATTTGTATGCAATGTTGGTCAGGTTAACAGTGTTCTGTTAGCTTTGACAGTGAATGCAAACATTTGAAATGTGTGAAAGGAAATGTTCCCTGTTGTGTGACTTAAAAATTAGTTTTAACTGCAGTTCCTCATATTTAATGTGTAATTTTATATTTCGACACGAAATTGCTTACATCTTTATATCATGTTAAGTCAAATTTGTATTTATAAAATCTTTACAACAGACTTTTGGAAAATGATAGGTAGAAGCATAATAAAATTATGTTGAAATTTTTTTATTTTATTTTATTTTATTAAAGCTTACATAATAAACAAATTATTAAATAAACTAAAGTACGCAGCGCTAGCATCAAAGGCTTTCGGCTGATATGTTGAAATTATTATAGCATATTATATACAAAGCTATCTATGTATACATAGTATTAAATTATTTTGAATAATTTCTTGGCAAAGCTCATACTTAGCTTACAATACAGTATAGACATTTTATTTATGAACACAGCATTGCGACGCAAATTTTATATGTTTCCTCTCATTTGTTACGCCTCATTTTAAAATATTGCTGCGGTAAATGTCAATTTCTTGTGCCTTGAAAGGTAGCCAATTGCCAAAAATGAACAGAACGCGAAAAATTAAAAAAAAAAAAACGAGGAACCTTCTTCAGAGAGCTAACTATGCGTTTACTTTAAGTGTGGAGAAATCCCTCAGCTGTGAACGCAAGAGCAAATTTATTTGAAGATTTACTTTAGTTTGAAATGTATATATTTTGGAATACACTCCTCACTTAAAGTCAAAGACAGAAAGTGGAGAAACGTGATAACGATGACGACTTATACTTTTATATCGTATGTTCTCTTAGAAGTTTAATATTAATAAAACTAATATCCAATTTATCGAAGAGAGGCAACATTTTCGTATTAAATAAGTTTTTGTTTACAAAATATTAAATATTTGGCACTTTCTCGCATTTTTCGCAAATATAAAATGAGCGCCTAAGTCAACAGAAAATTCAAATGAATCCGTAGACATAAAAACTAGCATTTTAAGGGTCAGTGTTGGAAGCGTCTTGTCAGCAAATTTGCTCAGTTTGTCATTAGTTAAGAAGTGAACTCTTCTCTAGATTATTGTCACTTCCACCAAATATACTAAACAAATTTTAATTTCGCATATTGCAGCTCTCAGTATCTATTTGAGTATCCCCTTGCTCCAAAACGTAACACCCCCCCTTTCCGCTGACTTCTTTCGCCTAATTTATATGTTACTTAAATACCTTCTTTCTTTTAATGCTAAACACAAATAATCATAAAAACAACATAAACATTGACACTTTCGTCCTACACAAACAACAAGAAAGTCATGAGCAAAGTGCTTGACCAAAGACAAATCTCAGATAGGACATAAGAGAATTAACACAAGTAAATCTACGTCTATTCCGATGCGTAGACCCTTGAGGCCACACAAATACAAAAAAACATACATACATACATACATTTATATCACTACAACAAATTGGGCATGGCTGCATGAATGGGTGTGCTCGAGCGGGTCAAACGGCAGACCAACAGGCGACATTCAAACTAATAAATGACCGACGCTGGAAAAGACAACGCCGTAAGCTGAATGAAATGTCACCCGGATATGCCATGATAGTGAGATTATGAATCTCTTGGGGCCAGTTTGTGTGTTCATCATAAAAGCGAGTTCGTAGATAAGTATGTGCGCCCGTTATATGGTCGTGTGGGAAAATTAATTCATGTAATATTATATATGTATATTATATACCTATACATAATARTAATATGCAATTTTGTACATAAGTAAGTACATTTATGTCGGCCTTTCACAAGATGAGTATGTAATATGTGTTTGGTTCGCTCATTAGTCGGTTTCTGCTGAGTAAAGAATGTGAGGTTAGGTTAATGTGAGTTCGTTGTGTGAAGTTTTCCGGTAATATAAGTCGAATTTGAGAGAATTTTTAAGTTGTTTCACATAAATCAGAGTACTTACTTTTGTTAGGAATAATATCATGCCTGAAAAAGATCGATTAGATTCATGCTTGATTATCTATAGTGGTAGTGAGCTTTTTCACGTGTTAATCAGGGTTTGAGGAGAAGGTTGGAGATAGAGTCTTCCTTTCGATCTCTCAATCAACTCCTGTTGTAGACTGTAAGACTAGTGTTGTGTCTTTTTAGAAGAAGGTTCAGCTTTTAGGTTACCAGCAGATGTAGCTCAACGAACTACGGCTTCTTTTAAACAGATATGCATCCACTCTAATAGTGAAGCTACTATGCAGGCCTTGAACTCGCTAACAATGAGCGGAAAGCCAGTCAAAGGGTCACGATCTCATTAGCTGTAACATCCACCTATATTCTATATTCAACTTGTTTGCGTGCCTGGTCACAGCATTCATTAAGATGGGATCTAGCAAGTGTGTCCCTGACTTCATACCTTCGTGTGTAAGATCTATAGATCTCGCGCGAGCTCAGTAAGTCTTGGCTAGCTTAAGTGGGGTTGGGGAAAAGGTCGGGGGCAGAGTAGAGCGCAAAAAATTCAGCTCTTAACAAGGCTTATATGCACACTTTCCTATTGTCACTCATCTGATGAAGACAAGATGGCATATTCTATGAACCCGACGATTTGGCTGGAGTAGTTGTTGGTCGGCTGAACGAGTTTGTGGCTGGATGTGGGCAATTCGTTGATATACGATGGTCATTTTGATCCATACTGAAGAGTTCTGGGCATCATAGCGAACAGGCATCTCTAGCAGTACAAGCACTCCATAAGAAAATCATTGTCTGTTATACTTTTATGTAGCAATATAGGTTGCTTATTGCATTTTAGTTATTTTAGCAGAGAGTCTCTTGTGATTTCGCTTTAAAGTTTTACAGTTGTAACATTGAAAAATTAAACTTAATAAATTTAAATAAATATTTCTTGGGAACGTAATAGTCTCAATAATACCAGTACTAAAAATCCTTCACGTTTTGACTTAAAAACTTTCGTTTGTGACCCGCCAAAACTTTCTAAAATCTTGCACAAATAAATCTGTTGAAAATAATTGCTTTTACACAACGTTTTAGCGCTTCCATTCTGAATAAATAGCATAATGGCGATACAAACAAGCGGTGTGTTGAAATGCGTGGCAGCACAACGCGGATCACTCGGCAGAATTCCGCTAAAAATCGCAGTGGGTAACGGGAAAATGTGTCAGCTGCAGCTGTGTTGGTGCTGATGGTGGTGTGCGGTTGCGGCAAGCCGCTTTCGTAGCACACTTTTTTGCGCGCATTCGCTGCGCATATTTGATATCAGCTGATGCCGCTGCTGCTTCCACTGAAGCTGGCATGAAGCCTTACTCTGCCGCGCGGCTTGTATGAATTGTTGTGTTTGTGCGCCCGTTTTATGCAATTTATTTCTTTTGTACTTCATACTTTGTGACTTTTTTGTGTGAATATTTTGGCATGCGCTGCTAAGTATGTCACATCCGCTTATAGTGGAGGATTCGCCATGTTCGTCAGCATGTGCGCGAATGGCAAGCGTTAGCTCTCGCTTCCTCCAGCTGAACTAATTACATTTTTAATTAAGTTTCTAATACTCTTAGGCTTGGCATGAAAGTGTCGGCTGTTTTTTCCAAAGACTTCATAAATAGTATACCAACTGTTGGGGGATTTTAATACTTATTTGACAAATAAAATATACATTGCTTGCGATTTTGGTGAAAAAGTAATGAAGGTGATGTTATTTATATACAAAAGGGACAATGTTATAGGCATATTACATTTCCAATGGGTGGGCCATTGTTGCATTATTACTAAAAATCAAACTTGCGACTTCAACACAAATTGGAGGTTAATAGTGTGATGGTGTTGCTCTGATTGTTGCAACAGTTGTCATTTTCATATATGAACAATATTAAAAATCTTCCAAATACATGAAGTATATTTAAATCGATATGAAAATGTTCAGCAGGAAGTGCTATCGATAGTGAGTTATAAGTACCATCAACCTGGAGACATTATTCAAAATCTCTTTTGGAATATTTCTCTCGCAATTCTGTACACTAACTAATAAATCATTGCTGTTACACTCCTTTTTTTCTCTGACACTAATTACTTGATATAAACAGTACAAACCCATTTAATATTGCACCGGAATGCAATCCTAAAGCAAAAACAGATAACAAACTTTGCCCTTAGGCTCCGCATTTCCTTTGCGTATACAATTTAATGTATCTACTTATGTCATCTTCCGCTCTTCTCCTCTTGCAGAACTTTCTCCGTGCTGCAGTAGTTCTGTAAACACTTCATAAAATGTATTACTATGTGTTACTTGAATCCTTTCATTGTCTGCAGAGCGGAGTGTTGGCGAGCAAGTGTGCGCTGGAGGTCACTGAATTTTCAAGTTCCCTGTTTACAAGCAACAGCAGTCACGTAGTTTCCTGTTTTGATTGCCTGCCTACGGTTCACTGGCTTGCTACTACAACTGTAGACTGAAGGTATGCTCCTCCAACA